GGGGGGGGGGGGGGGGGGGGGGGGGGGGGGGGGGGGGGGGGGGCGCAATGGCAGAACGGATCGTGCGAGTGAGAGAGCGTGTGTGTGTGAGGGTGAGTGCGCGTGCGCGCTGGTGCGTATGTGCATGTGTGCGTATGTGTGCGTATGTGTGTGTGTGTGTGTGTGTGTGTGTGTGTGTGTGTGTGTGTGTGTGTGTGCGCGCATGTGCGCTTGGATGCGTGGTCGTGGGTGTGCTGATGCGGATGCGGGGCTAACCCAGGTGCATGGTCACGTCTGCTGCCTGTGTGCTGCGGGCGCTGCAGAGCAGCGGCCAGCGGATTCACCCCCCTGGCTGAACGGGTCACTGGGGTGAGCTCCCACCCAGAAGTTACCAGCGCACGTCGTCAATGGCCGCTCGCTGCCGGTGACACAGCCTCCGCTGCTGCTTTTCGCAGCTGCCGCCAAGGCGGACGCCCAAAAACTACGATATCGCCCACCTGCAGGCACACTGCATGTCGCAGCTGCGACATGCAGCTGCTGCCACAGGCAGATCAAACAGATCCGCTCAAAAAACCGCCCACCTGGAGGTACACCGGCAGCAGCGCCGTGTGCCAGTCGTTGGCGATGAAGCAGGTGTTGCTGTCGCTGTAGGGCACGCCGCCGCAGGGCACGTGCCACACCGCCTCCAGCGCCGCCTTGCACAGCAGCGCGCACCTGCAAGGGGGCGGGGGAGGGGATGAGGTTGAGCAGGAGGGGGCCGCCAGGGCTTGACACGCTGCCAAGGCGCTGGGCAGCTCCTTGATGCAGTATGTGCTATCTTTATGTTCGAAAGCCCCCCGGCAAGCGTGGCCGGGCAGGCAGGCTCGCGGACCGCCAACGAGCCCGCCTCCGGCCGCTGGGGCGCCGCCGCCTCGCCCGGCCTGGGTGATTTTGACGCCGGGCCCTCCGACGACCCGGGACGCGGCCGGGGCGGCGCCCAGCGCCCGGCCCCGCTCGGGTGCGCCGCCGCGTGACACCCCAGCGCGGCGGCGAGGGCGGGGCCTCCGGACCCCGGGCGCTGCTTGCTCCAGTTGTTTGCTAGCTCCAACTCAGGCGGCGCACCGGAACTGGATGTCTGCGCGCTCTCCGCCGTATATGTCCTTGGCGTGCGCGTGGTAGCAGGGGTGGTCCACAAACACATAGTCCACGCCGTCTATGAACCCGTGGAAGTAGCCGACCTGCGGGGCGGGGGGGGGCCGGGCGCGTTGGCACGTGTATGCGCGCGTGCGCGTGCGTTCGCGCCGCCCGCGGCTCGCCTCCAGCTGCGCCGCAGCCGCCCGCCGCTGGCCC